TCAAAACTAACAAATGCCTTTTTCAAGTCACCCTCAGGGTTCAAAATACCAGGTCTGGTCTAGCTGATTTTTTTTTTGCTGAACATCTCCCTGGTGGGGAATCACCAATGAATGCAACACGAGTGACAGTGAGGGGCGAGAGGTCTTTAACTAGACAGTTTAAACGCTCTTCAGTCAGGTTTTATTCCACTTCCAGACAAGCCCTTAGAAGAACTGATTCTCTTTAAGGCTTTTACTGACACCTTGATCTTCGAGTTTGGTTTGAAAAACCTCCCAGCAGCCTGCAAAAATTAAGTTACTATATGAAGCAATGAAATACAGCAATAGAAGACCCAGCACGTTTCCTGTTTCTCTCCCTGTTACTGGGGAGCAACCGTCGCCCGGAGCTGCAGGTAGCAATACCTTAAACAACTGCAGAAGCCAAGCCCAGGGAAGATCCCCAGCTTGGACTAAAGCTGAAGAGAACTAAACTTCACCAACGTGTATTTTAAGAAAACCGGAGACCAAATTGTCCCTGCTCTCACCTTCTCAAGCCTCTTTTGAACGACTGTGAATTACTTCTGGTACATCCCAGGTAACACAACATAAAAAGCAACCACATAGTAATTAGCAACAGGCAAAAGACATTTGTCCCAAGCAATCCCTCAAACCCTTCTACACGTGTTAATTTTCTAAACTAACACAGAGTAAACCTTAAGCGTTACAAAGAAGCCGTTAAAAACACAATTAATAAGCTCTTACAACAACAAAGCCACGCCACGTTTGATTAATATTTTTAAACCAGAGCATTTTTCTGACTTGAAATACCTGAGGGACTTTTACAAGGGGAGAGGCTAGAAAGAAAAAGGGACTCTATCACTCGCAGCATCTTCCCTGCCTCCCTCCTCACGCAGCTCGGCTCCAGCAGCACGAGCCACGCGACACCCATGCAGAGGGGTAGCTGCTGCTGCTCTCGGGTGTCTTGGCCGGGAGCACCCAGCCAGAAGCAAGATGAGGTGGCAGGTACGGGGGCAGCGCAGCAGCACTCCGCACTTCAGGGGCTCAAAAGTCAACAGAGCGAACACCATCAAAACCCACAGTCCCACAGCCAGGCTTGGTTCCCAGCTGTGATTTCCTTGGCTGCTGGATTGTCAGGGACATGAAGTCACCCACGCTGGGGGACACAGTTACAGGACAGGAATCCCCTTAACCCAGTTAATGCGGTTCCATCTCTCAACATGAACAAGACAGGGATTTACTTTCCTGCATCACAGCCTCCAAAGGTCTCAACTCCACCACAGCACCAGGATTGCTGCTCCACACAGCCCCCAGGCCCCCCCCAGGCCCAGACAGGCCACTTGTTCTCTCTGCCTAGGCTTAACAGAAAGGCTAACCCTGGTTTAGCTGCATCCAGGAACAAGAGAGGGAGGTACTCACCACCCAGGAGACAAAACCATCAGCTCTAACAGGCTGTGGCTGCTTCCTCCCGCCTAATTTAGGGATCCAGGTGCAGGAGGGCACTCAGGGAAAAGCTCTTAGCTGCAGACAACTCCAATCAACATCATTAGCACAGGCAAGGAGCTACCCTTCATCCACAGCCCACGTTAGCATGTATGCATCAGACCTCTCAGAAGGACGAGATGTTTGCAGAGCGCTTTGAACGCAGGTCGCCAAATGTTGCCTGAGCAGGGGCAGGCACACACCGCGCTCCTGACAGAGCCCAGACGGCCAAAAAGGGATGAAGATGCCTTGTAACACTCCCATCAGGCATGCTGGTTATTTGGTCCCTTCTCCACTGCAAGGTGAAACATGTTTAGAGAACAACTGGTTAACGGGGTCTCCAGCACACTCTGTTTTGCAGCACAGCCGCAATTTGCAATTCAGTTTATTGCATTAAAATCTGGTGCAGCTCTAGCAGAAAGAAATAAATGTCACTCATCAGAGTTCATCCCGTTATCTCTTAGAGGAGAGGAAGCTGGGGCTCACATTCATAGAGGCGAGCGTGGGGCTTGCCAGAAAGCAAACAGCAGCACAGCCATAAATGCTCTCGCCCCAGCAAAGCCAGCGGGGAGGTCCCAACCCAGCCGCTTCTCCCAGTTGAAGCCCTGCTTCCCAAAACCCTCAGCAGAAGAGGGCTGACTCGGAGGGTGTTTCTTCACCCATGGAACAGAACAACGGCCTGAGTGCGCAGAGGCAAAACATGAACTCCAGGCGGCTGCCAGAATTCTGCTGGAAGGAAAAAGCTCTTCACCTGCCGCTGCCTGAGACAACAGAAGCCCTCGCACCTCGCTGCTGTTCCTGCAGGGCTTATTACGAGTGAATAAAACAATATAAAAAATCAGTCGTTCAAAGGGTGATAACAGAAGTGTTTCAACTCTGCCTGTATCCCCAGTACGATCCCCAAAGCAGCTTCTCACCTTCCTATGGACCCCTGTTAGAGCTGCAGCCGTTTGCTGCTAATTGATTCAATATGCATTTGGACTAGGATTTTTAATTAATTTTATTACAGAAAAATTAATGCACTGTTTCCCCACAGATGCATTAGGATACCAACATGAGTGGTAGGAAACCATCCTGCCACACAATTTTGTTGTGACTGCTTGTGTGGAGCCAGCCCCACACCAGCAGCGGGGCTGCCCCTCTCCCAGAGCCCCCCGTCTAGTCTAAGGGCTCACCTGCAGCTCACACCATTTATTTAACACATTCCAAGTGAATTTAGAACTGTATGGACTACAGAGCAGTGGGAAAGCATTGCTCCCCTGCCTCCCCAGGTCACGCTAACAGACTGACGGGCTCTGGCCTGCACAGAGCAACTTGGCAGCCCCCTTCACCCCACTGCTCTCCCGGTGGGTTTGGTTTCAGAGAGATATGGTGCATTTTTGTAGCCACTGTGTTCTACAAGACTACATAACCCTCAGTGCAAATCAAACGGTACCAACCATGGGAAGTGAGCTGCACAACGTGGGTCATTGGTGCTGGGCAGCACACTGCCTGCCTCTGCCCCACATCAGCACCAGCAGATGCTTTCTTTTGAGCAATAGCTCTCACACCTCTACCACTGTTTCAGGCACCTAAAGGGACCAGCCCAGCCAGCTTCTGCCTCCCCAGAGCCGTGAGCAGGCCCTACCAGCTGCGGCACCAGCACCATCCCTTCTTAACTATGCCCCTTGTCCTCAGCCTGACTTCAGCAGGCACAGGGGAACACAACAATCGCATTTTGGAAACCCAAGTGGTCTTGCAGGCAGCTGTCAAATCCACCCTTCTCCTCCCTTTCTCCAAAAATATTTTATCATTACCCTTCTCTACATATAATGGAGTTAGTAAGACTTGGCTTGGGACTAAAGTTGAACTAGAAGTTTTATCTGTACAGCAGCCCAAGGCAGAAAGGTCTGCTCTGAAACACCACAAGCATTTCAAAGCAGAGAAAAAGAGCATTTGGAGGGTGTTCTATAAAAAAAAAAAAAAAAAAGGGCAGAGTTGGGTGAAATTAAGCAGCTTCCACTATTTGAAATGACATCTCAGAACACAGAAACCAGTGGTGGTGGGGAAAATCATGTGTTATTTATATACATTCACACTATGGTATTATCAATGGCAGGGCACTGGAGGAAGAAACATCATCACTACATCTGCAACATCCAAATTCCAGTCCCCAGAGTCCTGCACTAGCATTGTATTGAACAGCATCCCCAAGGCATGCCATATTTTAGGAATTTGCGAAGCAGGAATAGGTAGTGTACCGTAAGGTCCAAGACCTTAATCAAGCCCTGCAACTCGATAGATTTCCAATATAACGAAGACAAAGAGGTGTCAGCTCTAGTTCTTATTTGCTAATACTATCAATAGGGGCTCAGCTCACTAGCAGTTAATTCAAAGCCAAGCTCGATTTGCACAGCAGTGATCTACACTAATTCCCATATGTGGCTAAGGGGAGATTTTGCCAACTAGACAATAGAAACAGTATTACAGCTCCTGAAATGATGCCATCACTTTTTTTTTCCTGCTCCACCACTTCCCCGCTGAATTTCCACGTGCTGGAATCTCCAGTTGTCTTCTCCCTTGCACCAGAAGACGTGCAAAAAAAAAAGGGTAGCGAATACAAAGGCACCTATTTCTTTTCCAGATGCAGCTTTATTGAGGCTTTTAAAAATGCAACTTCCCATAAGATGGGGGCCAATTTCACATTTTGGTTTTTTGTGCGTTAAAGACACTAAGAATTGCTGTAATTAAGCAATTATAGAAGTATTTCTAATGATCCAACTGAACTTAGCCTTAAAAAAAAAGTTGCTACATTTCATAGAAGTTCATTAGCTTGCTTCATCTGATATCAAGTTTTGCTTGGTTTACTTTCAGGTTCTAGTCCATCTCAACACTAGATCAGACTTTTACCAAGATACTCTGGCTGTTGAGAAGTCACAGGAAGCCAGACGTGTTACCCAATTAGGCAACGAAGCAGTTTTGTCCACATTAGAAGTAGTTACTGCCTGTAAGCCTGGCCCTCATTAATCTACAGTTTGGCTCAAAGGCAGCAGCAACAGCAGCCCCTACCCAGAGTTTACACTAATGAGTTACCCTGTCGTCTTAAGTCAGATGTGCAGAGCAGCCTGCATTAACAGCAGGTCAAAGATTCAAGTATCCTCACACCCCCGTCTCCTTCTCGCTGCCGAGCAAACACCGACTGCTAACTACAGCCAGAGGAAGAAAGAATTCAAGGGTAGTGAAAGGATACTAGAGTTTTCCCAGTTTGTGCTGTTTCCGTGCTAAGGAGAAGTTAGGTTTGTCACCAGCTTGGAAAGACAGCAAGACCGTAACACAGCCAGCTGCTCACCAAAGGGGACAGGCACCTGCATCACTCCCCCAACCCACCTCACAGCACCCAATTCGTACTAAAGCTTGGATCACTAGAGAGAGGACACAGACCAAGTACCTGCGCCACGCTCCTACTTCAGCAAGGAGTTAGACTAGGCACCTGGCTCCTGCCACGGATTAAGATGCTAGAAAAAACCACAAGTCTGAAACAGTTTAACACAGGACAAAAAAGGCACATTTTAATATGTACAGCAATGCATTTGGGCTATAAATTTACCCAACACAACTGAAAAAAAAAATCCAAACTATGCTTTTATACTTATTCCATGGTGTCAGCCTCATTCCTAGCCACCTACCTTTCTCTGCATCTCTGAATGCTGCTATATACACACACAAACAAACAATTACGTCATGAATGTTCATTTAGGCTCCCAAGTTCAAGTAATAAAGTTCAAACTTGCATAGCATCTTATGCCACTCAGCCATAAACAGTTACGATTGCATATTAGCTGGAGCAGCCATCTCTTTCAGTTCAGCCAGTTTTGGCTGGCCACCATTTATTTTTTTTATTATTTTTTTATTTTTTTTTAAATCCTTGAGTCAGAATGTTTCCTAAGTCACCAGCCCTGAGGGATGCCACAGACTTCAAAATGAACCTCTTGCTGTTGTTAAGATCCTTTTCAACCAGAAATTTAGAGTGTTGTCAAAAACAGTTTTAAAAATGTAATACTGTTTATTTTGCTTCAAAAACATTTCAGCATTCTAAACATACAAAAAAAACAGAACGTTGCAAATTCATTTAAGTACAGAGTGTTTTTGAACTTCAGTTGCTGCACTGGCTCTTCACTTAGTTGACGATGAAGAGATGTCTACAGTTTCAGTTTAAAAACTACCGCACTTAACTAAAAAAATCCATACACTTCTCATGCCAGCTGAACCCCCTTCCACAACTAAGAATGGCAGCAGAATGCTATTTCACTATATACAGAAAGACAACTTTAAGCTAAATGGACGCCCACTGTAGTGTAAATAGATCTACCCTCACAGTGCATGCTTTGGGCCATGGCACCCCGGGGAACGTACAGCCTTTCCAAGTAATCACTGCTCCTCTAAGGCATCATAACTCTAAGCATGTACCACAAGAATCTGTCTAGTTTTTACAAACTATAGATATGTACAGTTTATAACCCAGGATTTTCTAGCCAATAACCATATAGTAACACCACCTTACAAATTAAAAAAATGCTTGAAACATTTTTAAATGCTTTGTTACACCAACAGCAAAGTGCACAGAGTTAGGAGAACACTAGAGCGCCTTTTCATTTTAAAAATGTTTGGAAATATGTACAACTTTGATACAGTTTCAGGGTGCTCACTACACCCATGGCCACTTCATGTAAACCAGTTACAATTTCTAGAGCACTTTTAGAAACTACAACGCGATCGGAATCCAATTTTTCTTTTTTTAATTAAGCCTAATAAGGGCAAGAGACACCATCTCAAATAAGAGGTGCTTCATTTATGGTGTTTCCCCTACTCTATGGTATTCACATGGAGACAAGTATTGTACAGTTTTATTCATCATCATCATCTTCATCCTCCTCTTCTTCATCCTCCTCCTCCTCTTCGTCTTCTTCCTCTACCTTTTTCCGAGCAGCTTTGGTTGCTGCTCCCTTTGCGCCATCAAACTTTCCTTTAGACTTGTAGTCTGCAACATCCTGCAAAGTCAAGGGGATGTCTTAATTTGCTCTAAGCAGCAAACACACACAGCATTTGTACAGCAGCGGGCGTTAACGGAAAGGGACTGGCCTGCCACAGCTGCACCCCCAGAAGGGGGGACAGCCAGCATTGCAGCACACAGGTATGCAGACACCTACACATACTCAACTGCCTCGCGATGGAGGAGGCCTCAAACCCTGCGTTCACGGTTATTTCTGAGGAGGAGAAGAGAACCCAGCCTTTAAGTTTCCTGCTAACGGGACAAAGCTCCTTTACCAGCACAGCAAACCCTTCGCTGGGGCAACACGAGCGGCCGCTGCTGCGCGTCACTGGGGTAAGCTCGCCCTCCTCGGAGTCTGCCTGCCGCCCTCTCTAACCTGCTCCGACCCAACGTATGCAAAGCTCGGCTCCGTCGCACGCGGCGCCGCGAGGTCTGTAAGCTGGAGGCGCTCGCTGCGCTGGGCCCACGTTACAGAAACGCATCAACACAGGCGCCAGCATGGAAGAGGCAGAAGGGAAGCCAGCCTTACCTTCTCATACTTCTCCTTCAGCTTAGCTGCCTTATTATTGTAAGGCTGCTTTTCACCATCACTGAGGTTGTTCCACATTTCGCCCAGTTTCTTTGCTACATCCCCGATGGATATGCCAGGGTTTGTGGACTTGATCTTGGGGCGGAACTCTGAACAGAATAGGAAGAAGCCAGACCTCGGGGGGGGAGAAGCAACAGAGGACAGTCAGCACCATAGCAGCACACCCAGAGAGCACCCCCTTCCCTCCATCCCTCACCCACAACACCCACACATGCCCTCATCACATGCAGAGAGTTTTTTTTCCTCTTTACTTTAAAAAGAAAACCAAACATGTTTTTATTTTACTGAGATTTGCAGCCTTCACCCAATGCCGTTTTTAATTAGCTGTTGTCTATCCCCAACCCCTCCCAATTTCATCCCAGATACACAAGCCTCAGTACCACACGGTCATTTCCACATCTTCCATCACCATGAGTTTAAGGGTACCGAGTACTGACAATTCCCGTTAGTTCTCTATATACTCAAGATTACAAACTGGCTAGAAAACTTACAAGACAGTAATATTCACAATACTGCTATAACAGTAGCCCCAGCTACTTCCTTTATAGAAACATAACATCTGGGTTACAGGGCATGAAGAAAAACCTAAACACTTGTGCGTTTAACGCCCCAAAGTTACTTACGGTGGTCGTTTTGGGGCATTGGGGTCCTTCTTCTTCTTGCCACCCTTAGCTGGTCCATAGTCCTTCATTTCTCTATCATATCGTACCTTATCAGCCTTTGCCATTTCATCAAATTTAGCCTTCTCCTTGCTTGACATGGTCTAAAAAACCAAAAAACAAGACACCAAACCTGATTACCCAACTGTTCGATAACTGGCAAACAAGCCAAAACATACCGACTCGATAGTGGAGTTTCAGAATTTGTTTGTTTTTTTAACTGGACCACCTTGGGGACGAAGGTCCTGTACTGGGGACCGCAGCCACAGCTGGCATACTCAGCGAGAGGGAAGCAACGGGAACGGGACACGCACAGAGTCCTCCTGGAGGACACAGGCCTGGAAGGAGGTAGCTGCCGAGAGGGAAGCAACGGGAACGGGACACACACAGAGTCCTCCTGGAGGACACGGGCCTGGAGGGAGGTAGCTGCAGTGGTAGCAAGGGCACTGCTTGGGAACAGGAAAAAAGGCCAGGCTGCAGGGGAAGGACCCATACTCAGCGAGAGGGAAGCAACGGGAACGGGACACGCACAGAGTCCTCCTGGAGGACACAGGCCTGGAAGGAGGTAGCTGCCGAAGGGCACTGCTTGGGAACAGGAAAAAAGGCCAGGCTGCAGTGGAAGCACCTAAACAGGCAGATACACTGGGCTGAAGCCTTCATGATCACAAAGGAGACAGCAGCACCCCCGATTGATGGCCGGGACACCTTGCCAAGCACAGCACACGGACCAAAACAGCACCGGCTCCCTTCACATTCAGACGCACACACGCCATCCTAGCAGATACAGAAGTTACATCTTTAGGAAGTCACAAATTAAAGTACCTTCCACCTCTCTGAGCACTTCTTGGAAAACTCTGCAAAGTTGACTGGAACCTCTGGGTTCTTTTTCTTGTGTTCCTCACGGCACGTCTGCACAAAGAAGGCATAGGCAGACATCTTGCCCTTGGGCTTCTTCGGATCACCTTTAGCCATCTTGACTCTGTGGGGAAGAGGGAAGAAGGGGAAAAAATAACATGTGAGTGCGTGCATGGAAGAATGTGTATACATATACAGCGTGCATATATCTATATACGCACATACATACACATACCACCATTCCCCGAGATGATTTCCTGCCAGTAACGCATCCCCTTCTTCCCTCCAGCACCTGTTACCATCCTCAGTACAAAAATTTAAATTATTCTTCCTTGAGACCTGAGTTGTAGACTTGAGCCAAGTGAAACTGGTGACTGGATTTACGTTTGACATTGGTACATATTTACATCACGTCCGAAAAACTGAAGACAGGCTATTAAATACATGCACTCCTGCCCGTTAAAAGTTACATATGAACTGATATAAAATATTTTAGTTGGCTACCACGCCGGGGCTCGAGTGGCACACACAGTGCCAGGCTATGACTTATCCCTGTAGTAGCTGGAGTTCACGTGTTAGCAGCTGTTGCCCAGGTAGAAAAGGCAGGACAGATTATTCCTCCCCCCCCTAAAAGTGCAATAACCTTTTATCTATAAGAAGGCGTGCAAATACAGGCTGTTTTAAAACACAATAGGGCCCGTGGAGCTGTGCGAGGTGAGCAGAGCAGCGCCTGCTCTTGCTCCACCAAGTGACACGTTCGGCGCCGGAGTGGTCAGCGCCAAGATGTGATTAGCAAGTCACCGCGAGGACGATGCTAACTTTTGGGCTGTATTTCTTTTCTCCTCCGCTATATTAATTTTTTTTCCTCTCTCCAATTAAAAAAAAAAAAGAATCCGGCGGTAATATTTCCTATTTACAGCTTCCCAAGCGTTTGAAAATTTAATTTTTATTGGCGCGGCGTTAATATTTAATCGCCCCCATTAACCCTCCGTGCGCGGGAGCGGCCCCAAGCCGCCCT